CATAAATGATTAAGGTAAGTTTTCCACGTAATCCTTAGTTTTGCTGTTAATTAATACAAACCAGGGCTTTAGTGTTACTTCTGGTTTTGCATGCGCATAACCCACATGTCAAATTAAGAGGGAATGTAAGTAGGTGTCAAGTTAGACCTGCTTCAACTGATGTATCCATTGAAGTAAGATGTGTTGAAATTGGCAATGTAATTTACAAACCAAAGAACTGGAAGAAGTTACAAGTTAAAGTAGATGGCCACCTTCTTTAATATAACCATTCTTGCACCTCTTGTTCATTGCCTTGCTTGCTACACTCCTCTTCCAGCCCCTCAGCACATGCATTACCACCAAATCAGACTTCACTTTACTGAAGGGACAGGAGGCAAAATGTAAAACAGGATGCAAGTTAAAAACTAGTAATGGCGATGCATCTGAAGTAAGTCTAAGGGGAGCTTCTGAGAGCCTAAGTTAGTATAATGTACATATTTGTGGAGAGTGGGAGTTGGGGGGAAGAACTGGAATGTTTAAGATTCAACAGTTTTAGACTCTACGATGCACCTCTCAATTTATTACACTGAGGCAGAGGAAGAGGAAAAAGTAATGTTCATCATATGGAATAGCTCTGCCAAGTTGTGACCACCAATCAAAGCAAATGGAACCCTTTGAACTCCTATACAAGTGTTAATTCATTGATATGATTGTATCCCCTTTTTGTGGGACCTCTCTCTATTAATATCATTGTTTTCCAGGTTGGATATCACCTGACTTTCCCAGACATCATTTCACAGCACCTACATTGCAACAGTATTTCCACGTAAACTAAATCAAGAGTGCAGTGATCTCTCACCTACACACTTTACAGATGGAAATCTATAATCTTGAATGTCCCAATGATAGAGCCCTGCACATATACAAAATTTGTATCCCCATTTGATCTGCAAACATGGATATAAAAGTGGATAGCCACGGATTTGCAGGGCTCTACCAACTGAGTTTGTTGAGTCCTGCTGTACCAGCACCGAGTACTCAATACAGTATAATTATCTTAGTTTTGATCCAGTGTTAGGGTGCTTGACGAAATAACAACACTGTGTATGTATGGTTTATTGTCAACCTTACATCCTATTTTGGTATTGCCTAGGACAGTGGGGAAGCAAACACTTCATAGGAGTTTAGTATAGATCAAGACTGACCACAAATCTGTCAATGTCTCAGTCCTGCCTTTCTGTAGTTCCTGGAATTACAAAGAATTGGACAAGTCTGTCTTATCAGAAGATGGAACAACTTGATTTTATTTTAGAACTTGTGTTGCCCTACCACTACTTTTGGTTCCATTCGCATAAGATGGAAATATAATGAATGCAATATCTCCATCAATGTTTTTATGCCAGATGCAACTGAACCAATTCACAAGAATCCAGAACGCATTCTGCAACATATCCTAAAAAATATTTCTAAACAATCTTATAGAGACAAATCCTGGCTTTTCAAATGTGGGGCACAGGCAACAAGAAAGCATCTGTCAGATTCATCTTCATCTATGTTTTATTGGAGACTTCTCCCCACTATACTCATTGCAATAAGTGGAGTGACTTCACTCCACTTTCATGCACGTGAAAAGTGCTCATTGTGCAGGCTCAGGTAATCCCTTACCTCAAGACCACACACAAATACATTTGGGTACAATCCTGATATGAGAGTCTATAGCTCTCAAGCCACTTAAAGTTACAGCTTCCAATTTTAGATGGATATGGAAATAGTGTAAAGTTCCAGAGAGTGCTGCCCCAATAGATAAAAGTATGTGTTAATACAGAGGTCGGCAACCTTTGAGAAGTGGTGTGCCAAGTCTTCATTAATTTAAGGTTTCACGTGTCAGTAAAAGGTTTCGCATGCCAGACCGGCAGCGCGGTCGACAGACAGAACCCCAGACCAGTAGTGGGCTGAGCAGGGCCGGCGGCCGGGACCCCAGACCGGCAGCGGGCTGAGCGGCTCATCCCACTGACAGTCTGGTGTTCCAGCCGCCGGCCCGGTGTTCTGGCCACCGGTCCTGCTCAGCCTGCTGCCGGCCCAGGTTCCATCCATCCAGTGCTAGTGCCGGCCCAGGTTCCATCCATCCAGGCCAGCAGTGGGCTGAGCGGGGCCGGCGGCTGGGCCCCCCGGCTGGCAAGGGGCTGGAGGCCGGAACTCCAGACCGGCAGCAGGCTGAGCAGCTCATCCTGCTGCTGGTCTGGGGTTCCATAATCCAGGCTGGCAGCGGGCTAAGTGGGGCCGACGGCCAGGACCCCGGCTGGCAGCAGAGTGCCACTAAAAATCAGCCCGCATGCCGCCTTTGGCACGCGTGCCGCAGGTTGCCGACCCGTGTTAATATTTGTGAAAAGCCAACAAAGTGAGGAAACAGAGGGTGAAATACTATCATCTCACCCGATTGTACCCAAGTATTGGAGAGTTCTCATTGCTTATAGGTGTATCATATCCCACGTGTGACATTTCATGTGTTACATTCCCACACCATAGGAAAGTAGTCTCGAGGTAGCCATCTTGACCAGTATAAATCAAACTTGAAGATTCAGGGGAGCTGGGGGAAGAGGGAGATAAAGACTAGGCCAGTACAATATATGGATACTTCTGTACCACCCAGTCTGTTCACCTATACTACCACATTCCGAGCTGGGAAAAGCAGCTGAATTGGAAGGCAACAAGTTGTGACTTTTGTTAGTGCTAGCATGCTTCAGAGCTTTCTAATTTCACTCCTACCCCGGCAGCTCTGCACCTCCTCCCTTCCTTTATTCCGCTTTAATCCTAGCAATGGAGTGGAGTAAGGGTGGCAGGCAGGGAAACTACTAAGCTCTGAAGGCTTGCTACTTTCAACTATAGCTACTCCCTTTAGCTGGGGAGTGGAACACCATGAAGAACAGGTGGGACAGAGCAGCAGGAGGAGAAAAAAAAAGCACTATGGGGAAGAGACAGGCTGAGGGGAACAAAGGAAACAGGGAGAACAGGTGGTAGCAGGTGGGAAAAAACAGAGAGAATTAGAAAAAAACAGCAAAGAAAAGAGAAGACTATGAACACAGGAGAAATATTTTGTCATACTCTTCATCAAAAAAGGAAAAACTAGAAACCAATAACTGGCAATATCTCCAGGAGCAGCAGATGTTTTTCTGAGGATGGGCCTAAGACAGCGGTTCTCAAACTGTGGGTCATGACCCCAAAGTGGGTCGAGACCCCATTTTAAGGGGTCGCCAGGGCTGATTTAGGCTTGCTGGGGCCCAAGGCCAGGGCCGAAGCTGAAGCTGAAGCCCCACCGCCCTGGGCCGAAGCCCAAGGGCTTCAACACTAGGTGGTGTGGCTCAGGTTACAGACTCCCTTCTGGGGCTAAAGTCCTTGGGCTTTGACTTTGGCCTCCCTGCCCAGGACGGTGGGACTAGGGCTTTGGCTTTCGCCCCCTCCACCCGGGGAAGCAGGGATTGGACTTTGGTTCAGGCTTCGGTCCCCCCTTTTGGGGTCATGTAATAATTTTTGTTGTCAGAAGGGGGTCATGGTGCAATGAAGTTTGAGACTCCCTGGCCTAAGAGATTATGCCTTTTTTCAGGAAGGCAGGGTCTCTAATAATAATGGACCCAATTCCCTCTGCAAGATTTTGCCAGCCAAGAGGGTCATGGATCCAAGTTACAGATTACAATACGAAGTTATTATATATATAGCACTAACAGTGTGTTAGTAGCTTTGCTGATAGCTGTAAAGACAAGGGCTCTGCCCCATTTAGCTTATTGTAATCGAAACCAGTTGAAATTTAATTAGAGAAAATAAAATTTGTAACAAAAATAAATTTGAGTGTTTGTAGCTCAATACTTACGTTGTTTTATGCTTTCTATGCTTTTTTTTTTAAAAAGTACTTATTACATAAAACAATGAAAATTATCAATATTGGTTGCCTTAGTTTATTTTCCTTGTGTTACAACTACAAAAACCAACATCAGAGCACATTTAAAACTGAACTAAACCTCCACCCACTGCCTCCTGTGCTCTCATTTAGAAAAAGTATATTGGCTTTATGCTCTTAAATGCTCCATATTAAAGTTATCACCATGTATGCAAGTGCAATTGAGTATCTAGTTTCAGTTTTAGCCTACAACAGGATTTTCTTTTTAAATACAGTTCCAATTTATTGAACAAAATTTGCTTTTGCTCTGGACAAGAAGCAGAACACTATCTTATTTACTACAGCTAAGGAAGATATTTAAAAACTTTAGTTTTTTCATTAAAATACACTAACCTATGAATATGTGAAAAGCTATTTCAGATATCAGCACTGGGCCTACAATATATAATGGACAATGTGAGAATAAAACTGCCCACATGGAACCCTACTGAAGCCAATCAAGCTTCGCATGGGTGTAGCTGTCCACCTTCATGTTCTCCCTCGCAGGATTGGGACCTTATTTATTACATAAAAAGTTCAGACATCTAATAACCTGATTGTAATAAAAAACTGCCAGACTGTAGCAAACAGTACTGCCAAAATACAAAATAAGTGATTTAATATATTCTGAAAAAATTGATTAAAACATATAATTATATCTCTCTCTCTCTCGTGAGATCTTTTTTAAAATATACACAGTAGGCCGAGTTTAGAGTTTAGCTACTTCTGACTGACGCCATGCAGTTTTGATGCATCTTTTAAAAACAACTGCATTGATTTTCGTCTTTTCCCTTCCCTGAAAAAAATAGAAAGAAAGTGAACAGAAGCCTAAGAAGTTCTCAATTCTACAATAATTCAGTGACTGAAGATCAACAAGCAGCAATACAAAAGTCATAGGATAGACTTTCCGTTCCCAACTATCATGCCATTTCTTCAATAATCAAATTTCTTATGTGATCAAGTTAAATAATAAAAACAAGACATTTCTGGGTAGGTGGCAACAAAATGTTATTTATAAATTATTTTTTATCTCCACTAGCTGGATTTTTCCCTGGTGTACAATTTTAGCTAAATTGCATCTAAACACCAGTTAATACATTACCCATTTTGTTTTTCGCCTACCTGGCATACATTTCAGGAGCTTTGCATTGCACATATGTCCTTTCCATATGTCTGTGAGAATATATTCCATCCGCTTTGCTCGCCATAGGAAGTTAAACACCCTTAGGTAGTGGCTCATGCACTCTCGCGTAAATACCTGCAAATAAAATCAATATAGCAGCTTAAAATAAAATTACCCGATTTACTATCTGTTCATCTGGTTTCTTTAAATCTTTCTATGCTATCCCAAGCAATGTATACAGGTTTTACCAGCAGATTACAACGGGAAATAAATCCAAAGCTCTAGGGAGGTTAGTCCCTCTATGCAGGGAGCTGATCTGGCTCAGTCATCAACTGCCCAAGCAATAAGCAAAACACCATTATAAAAGCTGAATCAGAAAAAAATTAGAGTAAAAGGTTCCACTACACTAAAATAAAGTCAAAGTCTGGACTGGCACAAGAGGACTTCTCAAAACCAAGTGATCAGGCAAGACTCCAGGATCACTCTGTGCCACAACAGTCATAGGCTGTGGTGCAGGGTGAATCAGGGAAAAAAGATTTTCTATAGTGTGCAGAAACTGCCTCAAGGCAGTTTACAAACTACAATGTCAAGTCAGCAATGATGTATCTAAGGCTGCCCAGGTGGGCTCTAGAGCACTAGAATTGAAACATCCCTTTTCAGTCCCAGACAACCTCAACAATGGAACAAGCCTTGAATAATGACAGTTTCTTTACACTGGACTGTGTAACCTTCCCTAAGGTTGTCAATACAAATAAGACACGGATTCCTTTTAACCTGTTAGACTTTCTTAAGACCCCTAAAAAGAAAGCAAGAGCTGATCTGAATAAGGTAACTTCCGGACCTCTTTTTGGACACACACAGAGCTCTTTCAGTGTATGAAGATATTTTTCTCTTACTTCATTGGGGTGGACAGGAGAGGGAGAGAAACTGGCTGAGTCAAGTGGGAAAAGGAACCCATCTTGGGAAAGACAACGGGAAAAAGCAATGATTAAACCTATCCCAATGATAAACCAGGAACATATACCTGCATTAAAGAGCATAAGTTTCCCCATATACCCATCATCAAGCAGATAGCTGCCAGAAAAAAAGATTAAAAGGTGAGTCTCTCTCAGATGTTCCTAGGGATCATGTCACATGATGGCTGGCCCCTTAAGGAAGAAGCGTCTAAGACCACCTATGACCAGCTTAATTCATTTTCCAGGTGAGAAGAATGAAGATTCTGTGACAGGTAGATCAGGTGACCAATCAAGCCTCTAATTAGGGTGAAGAATGTGGGAGAGGGAGAAGCTCAAGTGGGAGCCTGTAACAAACCATCTAAGATAGATGGGAAAGCTAGGCAGGACAGACGCATGGGAGCCTGGCTTGAGGAAACAGCTGCAGGTGAGTGCTGCAGAGAGAGAGAATGGCTCCTCCACAGAGTAAAGGGACTGTTTGGATGATAACCCAGCTCCAGGAAGGAGAGCTGGGGGGAAAGAAAGACTGAACTGTGACCATTCTCCAGGAAGGAGGGCTGAGGCCTCCTTCATTATGGAGTTCATTATGAAGCAACTACTCTTCCTAACCCTGCCAAAAAAACAAAAACAAAAAAAAACAGCATGTGGGAGTGGGGTATGTGGCCAATGAACCCTTCAATGCCAACTGGCAAGGTGATTACAAGAATATCCTGATTCTGGTATGTACATTCTGGGTCACCAAAGAATGTCACATGGGATCTTAAATGAAAGCCAGGATCACACTGGTTGTTAATATCGTTGTGAAATGTATGTACAGATGCTATGTAAGGGGTTATGTATGTATACCGAAAATATGTTTTAAAGTATGTATTAATGTACAGTTGACAAATTGATTTTCTGACAGAAAAGTCAAGATATCTGTTGGCATGTAAATTCAGCATTGTAATCTACCACAATGGAGAGTCATTTACATATGAAGTCAACAGAGGGGCAACACACCAAAGAATAAGCCACAAAGGGTTATCCTGACTGAGTACAAACAATAAATTTTGGGGGAATATAAAGAGAAGGCAAGGAACACACCCTTTATCCTGCACCTAAGGAAAGTAATTGGGCAGTGTGGTTACATTCATGAAAGTTGGATCACAACCAGCCTTGGTTGAAACACTACAAAGGACATTTGGGGTGAGATAACAGGCTAACCTAAGGAAGGTTATGTTTAGCCTCTAGAAAGCTTGTTATGATTTTGTTTTGTATGTAACCCTTTTGTTTCCACTAACCCTACTCACGATCTCTTGAATCTTTGATGACAAACTTATTTATAGTGAAAACAATACTATAGCTTAGTGTTGTGGTATTATACAGGGAGCTAATCCTGAGTTGAATCAAACAGGCTGGTGTGTACGTTGTTCCCTTGGGGGCAGCAGGCCCAGTATTTCTGAGTGTGTTCAATGGAGAAGGGGCTGGACACTACAGGAGAATGCTTCAAAGGAACTCAGAGACTGGGGTACACCTGTTAACCTGCAAGCCAAAGGAAGGCATAGCCCAGAGGAGACTGCTTAGGTGGCTAACAGGCTGATGATGTCAGTAAAGCACAAGGAAGGCACAAGCAGGTTTCCCTCACACTGGAGCCCCGAGGGGAGGGTGGTAACAAGGTGATGCAAAGTCCTGGGTACTTTGAGAAGTGTTACAGGAGGAATTACCAAAAGAAAAAAATAATAGACAAAAAAAAAATCAAGACTCAGATTTCAGAAATGCACATGTTCAAATGTTGTATGTCTATTTACCACAACTGAATGTGCAATCTTGGTAATTGTGCATATGCCATTTGGAAAATCTGGGCCCAAAAGCCCAAGTCCAGCTCTCTTGCTTGGTTCTGTCCACCTGCTGGAGACAGGAAAACAATTAAGCAGGATTGGACAGATACCCTCTTTATAGGGAGAGACATGTCATAAGAACTGTGCTCCCTCCCATCTCCTGGTATTACGATCTGTACCAACTGTCTGGGCTGGTCTATGGACATTGGAGTGCTAAGCCATCCTTTTTGCTTAATCTCAATGGTTTTATCTGCAGATGCAAGAGGAGAATAACTCTCTCTCTCTCTCTCTCTCTCACACACACACACACACACACACACACACACACACACACACACAAACTCACTCCTGCAAGTTAAAATATAGTTGAACTGTAGTCCATTAAGAATAAAAGTTATGTATACAGAGATCTAAAGCACTAGCAGAGATATTTTCTAATGCATTCCTGAGCAACACCCAGTGCTTCTCTAAAGCATTTTCCTCTTGTTAACTGAAATAGCAACTGCAAGCTTTCCAAGTACTAACACAATACTTCAGACTGCAGAAATGTAGCATTTTCACTTATCCAGAGTATACCTACACTGGACATGCTTACACCATATGTATTTTGATTTTTACATTTGCAACAGTGAAGAGGCTTCTAGAACACACTTTAAGATATACATGAACAAAGATCAACATTACTATATTGTTATATTCTTGATTTGATTAGGAATAAGAAATATAAATGCATTAAATGTTATATGGGTTTCTATACATTAGATTTACAGATTACTGTATGATAGTAAGTTACATCACTTAAGAAATTTCCTATATTTCTACGGATGCTCTTGCCATTTTCAATTTACAGCAGGACCATAAAGCTCCATTTTCATTATGGTTCCATCACTATTCCCATTATAAACACTTGGGATCTGTTAGACCAGAAAGCACTTTTTGTTCTTGGGAGGTTTGGGGCACCTTTCAATTCCCAATAAGATAACTGGGAGTTGAGGATGCCCAGCACTCTCCTAGAAGTGCTCAGTATTTCTTTTGCTATTCATGTGGAGTTTTAATATTCCTCTTCAAATATGACCTTCAAGGTCTCCCAAACAAAGGCTTGCTGGCTGGCTTCCCTGTAATTTAAAAATGAAGTGACATTTTGTTCAAAGTGCTCAGTAAAAAACAAACTCAGGATCCATGGAGACTTTAATCCTTCATAAAAAGATGCTAATTTTTCTACACTGGTTCCTAAAAATATCACTTCACTTGAGAGCATGAGGTGATACTATCAGCAATGGCACACAGCCCTTCACCAAACCTAGTTTCTAGTGGACAGCTGTACACCTCAAACCACTCTCACCTGATTTTCCTCCTCTACTCAATGAGCTATTCTAGAATAGCAAAAGAGTTGCAGATATCGGAACTACGGTGCATTTGTGGAGGAGCCTGCATCCTGGTTGATGCATGGGGGATAGATAGCAGTGTAGACAATCAAAAGTATCAGAGCCACCCAGAAAAAAGTTCCAGGGAAAGAGACCAAATTTCTGTGTATGTTACAAGGAACTCACTGGAATCTAGAGATGTTACTCTGGATGAAGTAGCAGGGGCTGGTAGGGATAAAAAAACTTAATTTTTTCAAAAGGTATTTTAGTCAATAATTCTAACGTTTAATAAACAGTCATATGTTTCACTGGCAACTCATGAACTTAAAATATTTGATCCCATTATTTCTAAGTAGCAGCATTTAAATTTACAATGAACATAATATTCTGTGTGTTTAATTACTTGCTCAGCTGTCTACCTTCCTGTAACTACCGCTTTGAAAGGTAAAAAGTTATGTAAACAAAAATTTACCAGGAACTGGAAAAGTGAAAAAAACTGATGCACAGAAAGCATCTGTATTATTGTTGAAAGTCATTTCACCACAACTGAGGATTGCACCATGTTTCCCCAAATGGTAATGTCAAATGGTGAAAATTAAATTAAGGGAGGTGGTTTGAAAAAAAAAAAAAAAAAAAGTTTATATGGATGAGTAATTAGCAAAAAGAATCTGCCCCCAAAGGATGGGGAATGTGAGAATGGATGAAAAAAGTAGAGGCCCAGGGAGGTATTTTTCTCCTTTCTCTAACTATACATCTATGTAAAATACCTTCTGCTGGTCACTGAGACCTTTTTTTTTTTTTTTTTATTATTATTATTATTAAAACAAGCACTGAAATTCTTTACATACGGTAAAAGCATTTTGAACAATAGTGCAACTATTTTCTCATCAGTTTTAATGAATACTGCATATCAAATTTAACTAATACAAATAGATTCCCCTACATATATTTTATAGTTTCTTGCAAATTATCCCAAATTAGTTGCTACAGTCTAGAAATAATGGCAGAAAATGAACAATCCATTTATTAAGTACTTACTAAAATCTTGCTGGAACAAATGAATTATTTATTTTAAGTAATGAATGTTTTAACTGTAGCATTTTAGCAGTCATTAATAATTTAGAGAAATTGAGATTTTGGTTGAACTGTTAATACAATGGGTGCATCTGACATGCCAAATAATCTCTTTAATCATCCATTTCTAGAGTAAAAAGGCTATTTTAATAACAAAGCATTTAGCAATCTAAATGGATATCTGAGAAATCCACACAAACTACAATATAAAGCCTTACCGTTGCAATTGGCCCATCCACATGATAGTCTAGACTGAAGACATCCCATCCAGTATCACCAGGAGATACCTACATGGAAAAAAAAAATGCTACATTTAGTCACGTATCAAAGTCTGCACATTGCTGAAATCTTGTTTACTGTTCCCCCAAGAACTATGAAAAAGCAGGTTATGTTTGCCAAAAATGGCTTCTTTCAATATATATTATATTGCTAGTTTTCACAAAGAAATACTATAACAACTTTGTTTCGTTGGTTTAATAACATGTAGATTAGATATCTTTTGAGGCTAAGCACCACATTCCCTCACTAAACTCCCATATTTTACAGAAGCATCTCTGATGCAAGGCTGCCCCAGAAAATATTCACTGTTCATTTTCTTCATGATTCCGTACCACCAGCGTCACAAAGACCCTGCCCCCGGTTCTCAGAGTGGTGACTGAAGGAGCTAATTTCAGCCCCCTGATTCTGGACTACTAGCCCTTGTATAAATAACAGCAGGACACTCCCTACTCTCTCTCTCATACTGCTAGTGTTAGGGACCTTATATCAGCAGAGGATCAAACTTAGCAGAGGTAATCTTACACTTTTGGGGGGTGTGGGGTGGGGAGAGGAGGGAATAGTTCGTGTAGAAGGAGGCTGTGTGTCATCCACCAGCTTTACACCAAAGATTCACTCTAATATTAGATGAGTAGAGGCAATTCTCCGCTGGGAATCTCCAGCCAGGGTAAGGCCAGTTTGTGCTGTGTGAGCAATACAAAGTAACCTTAGTGGACAGAAGAATGCGACTCAGCATGAATAGAGACTAGAAGTTCACCTGATGCTGATCCAAGAGCTAATTTTAGATATTTATACCCAGAAAATAACTTTCATGTCAGAAACTGAAATGACAGAGTACCTCCAGAAGTCTGACATCCAACCGTTTGAGGATCTCGGGATTATCAAACTGTGCATTAGTTGCCCTGACAGCTGTTTCAAGGATTCCTGTCAGATTATGCTGATACAAAGTGGTAGCTGGTCGGGCAAGCTCTGGCCTAGAGGTTACAAAATAAAGTCATTATATACAGTTTATGATATTGTGTAGTATTTACTTTGTATTATGATAGCAATTGCAATGAGTTTGTACAACATTTTTCTCCAAATTGTACTTTCAAAATTAAGGACAACTGCCTACATTCACTACCTGAACGACTGAGAAATGAGACATTAAATAACATTGAGAGATTTTAAGTAATTTGTCTATTTGTGTATATAACAAACACATCAGTGCTAGTGCTAGATTCATTACCACTTGATGCAAGTAATTATTTTAAAGATTATTAGTATGTAACATAAAACTGTTCTATAATTTTAGTCACACTTACAATCAGAATGAACTACCGTTTATTTGTACTGCATTAATATGACAGCTACCACCAGCAAGCCACTAATTTTAGTTAGTGGTTATGAGAGACTTGTACATACTAATCTGAAGTGCTTAGACTGGCTGATGAAAGTATCTAAAGCCCATAATCCTCAATTCAATAGGAACTTTTTAAAGATCTACATCAAGAGGTTGTTTTTCCCCACTAGAAAGTTCCTTACTATTTATGCGTCAAATGCAGTATTGATTCTATACACCATCCCTAGTTTTTTTGCTGCACATTATTTGCTTTCTTAAAAAGTGCAACCGACACATTGCATCAATAAAAAATGTTAGCCAAAGTTGTTTTTGATGTTTATCAAGTTAATGGAAGCTTTGTAATACACAATCTGTTTTGCAGAAAAAGGAGAGCTGCTTAATGGATTTTTCTTCTTCTTACACATGAAATTTCAGCAACATGACCATGAACTAAAATAAGACGCTATGCAAGTATGCTTCTTACAAACTCAGCTGGGCAATTATGCCTGCAGTTGAGGGAGCCAAACGCTGAAGTTGTGAGCTGTCAGTTGAAGCTGTAATCAGAAATATTAACTATGCACGCTAAACATTTTGGGGGGAAAAAAATCAAAGAAATACACTTAAGGATGTAGAAATGTTGTGTTTATAGCAGTGCTCATGAGTGGTGTTTTAAGAGTACTAGAAATAGAGACAGAATTTAGAAATCACAGAGCACAGGCACTGGAAATGCAGGCAGCCCGGGACACATCAAGAGGGAGAGGGTAACAGTAGTTCAGCTTTTAAAGATCTTGAAATTCTTTTGTACTTACTACTTACAGGAGAAACCAAATTTCAACTAATATTAAAAGGTTAAAAAATCCAGTCTAATATTTTGTGGAATCTAAGGATGTCTAGGTAACCCCTATAATAATAAAATATTAGTTGCATTAAAATGTTTTCTTTTTAGAAAATGATCTGTTGTATATTTGCAAATATTAGAAATGTCATCTTACTTAAGCAAGTCCATTAAGTGTCTTATAAAATCTCCTTGACCGAGAAGTAAGTAGCGCCTCATAGCCTGCATATGCTCCAGTAAATTGTATTTTTTATTGAGAACATCCAGCAAGTATTTGCTGGTCTCAAAGTAAGCTGCATCGATTTTTCCCTGAAATGCATTTTCCAAATCTGTGAACAAGTCAGCAGCTGCAAAAACAAAAACAGAAAATACAAGGATTATTAATATACGTATTTAAGAAAAACATTGAAGATGAAAAAAATGATACAAATGTAGAGGTATTACCACTTCCACAGATTCTAATTCTCCATTTCTGAACTGACCTATCCATGAAGCAGGTCTGGACTAGCCCGTACATCAGCGTCAATCAACATTAGGCAAAGATCGCCAATATTGACCTTCAAACTAAGAACTCATACTATTTCATAACTTTTACAGCAAATATCTGTCTACTTTCTCCAGCTGCTGTGATATTGCGGTATTCAGGATCACACACTGTTCTGCAACCATCCAACAGAACATACGAATAGGATGTGTATGCAAAAGGGAACAAGACAAAATGTGATGGCTTTAAATAAAACAAGTCTTTAAAAGTTGAGAGAGTTGTGGGTTAATAATGTAAATAAAATTTTAAAGAGTTAAATTGTAATCCTGACATTCTATTTAGAGCTAAAAACACTAGTCAGACCAATGAAATTGTACAAAGGGACAGAAGTTAGAAACAGTGGAAGAAATATAATAGTGAGATTTAAATGTGGGGGAAGAGGCAAGCAACCAAGAAATGATATACCTGGGGGAAATAGTTGAAATACATACATACATACCAGGAGGGAGAAACCTAGGGCATGTCTACACTTACCTCTGGAGCTATGGATCCAGCTGGGGTCAATTTATCGTGTCTAGTGAAGACCGGATAAATCGACCGCCGAGCGCTCTCCCATCGACTCTGGTACTCCACTGGAGCAAGAAGCGTAGGCGGAGTCAACAGGGGAGTCAGCAGTCGACCTACCGCAGTGAAGACACCGCAGTAAGTAGCTCTAAGTACGTTGACTTCAGCTATGCTATTTTCGTAGCTGAAGTTGCGTAACTTAGACCGACTTGCTCTCCCCCCCTTCCTAGTGTTGCAGGAGACTTAAGTGTGAGTGGAAAGTAAATTCAGTATTACCGATCATGAGCATGCAAAAAGCAAGCATCAGGCTAAAGAGTCATAAGATTAACTAAGAAGTTGTGACATTTTTAGAAAATAATAAATTTATGGTAGTTTATATGCCTTCTGGTGATTGAACCTTTAGAATTCACATTCCAGCTTCTCTCTACAACCATGCAAGCTAGAAAATTAATTTTTTTTTTAAATGAAAGCTGAGATTCTTGTGTAATCACATGAATCCAGGAGCTGGGGCTTTAAGGAAAAACACCAAATATCACAAGACTCACAATAAAAGTTACAAGAGTTAGCAGCACCAAAATTAAATGTGGGTTTTCAGTGGCAGAGAGGGAAGAAGGAGTGACCAATACATATATGCTTCAAAACTGCAAGGGAATCACATTCATGAATAAGGAGGCAATAGTCCATCTCTACATGACTGTGGTACAACTGCACCTGGAATATCGTATTTATAGCCTTCACATCATATTACCATTGACATTGATGAAATTCAGTGTGAAATACCAAAAGTTACCAAGAGACTAGATTACATTTACAAAGAAAGATTAAGGAATAAATATGCATAACTAGGTAAATGACAAAATGTGTGTGTGGTAGAGCTATAACAGTCTACAGATATTTTAAGAATAAATGGAGAAAAAATATTTAGAGTGATACAAGGGACTGAAACTAGAAGAAACTGAACAAAAGTAAGAAAGGGAACACTGACAAAATATGAAAAATTTCTGAAGAGTGAAATATGTTAGAATGAGATTCTCCAATGGGAAAGGGTTGTTACAATTAAAGTTGAAGTGGACAAAACACTAGAAAGTGAATTGTAGGGAATAATCCTGCATTGTCCGATTGATGGAGTTAGTGATCTGGTAGTTTTCCATCATATCCAACTTTTGTCAATTTGAGGGTAAAAAGGTAATAAAAGGGAAGAAAGTATTACCTGAAATATCCATTTAAATAAATGGTGTCATTTCAGTCTTTTGTGCGACTATAACATTTCTTCAGCTGATTTTAAACTTCAAAAAAAAGGTGAGGGGAAATGGATTGGGACTACTGGAATAGGGAGACTATTTACTTTTAGATAGTATACTGTGATTTTAAAGGTAGCCAACTGCTTAAACACACTGCCACCTGACTGACTTCTGTAGCAATAATACTATAAAGTATGGATGAGATTCCATTTTCAATTATATTGTGATTTAATAACTACTATTTTGAAGGTGGTTTTTAAAGCTCTAGCTAATATGCAATGTAACTAGCTCACAAACTTTTTGGGGGGGAGGAGGGGGAGAAAAAAAAAGTGTCTCAGCTGGACTGGAAAGTTTCACACAAGTTTTACACAAGCATAACCAGAACCAATATCAAGATACTCTTTTGCAAACCTAGAAACTAAAAATGGGTTATTTTTAATGAATTAAGCATGGCAAGTTGTTTGTTTTTGTAAAATAAGGAACTGGAGTCTGAAAAGTGGGAATAGTTAATTTTACAACTTGTGGAACTCTCAGCCACAAGACAGAGCGCAAGCACTTAACAGGAGTCCAAAGAGAGCACAGAGCACAGATTATCCAACAAGTTCTTGGAATGCACTGGAGACAACTTTTTATTATAGAAGGTGAAGAAAAGGGAGAAGCTATTCTGGATTTTATTCTGAGAAACAGGGAGGAGCTAGTTGAGAATTTGAAGGTGGAAGGCTGCTTGGTGAAAGTGATTATGAAATGACAGATTTCATTATTCTAAGGAATGATAGGAAGGAAAATAGCAGAAGATAATGGACTTCAAGAAGGCAGACTTTAATAAACTCAGAGAATTGGTAGGTAAGATCCTGTGGGAAGCAGGTCTCAGGGAAAATAAGAGTTCAGGAGAGTTGACAGTTTTTTAAAGAGACTTTATTAAAGGCACAAGAACAAACTATCTCAATGTGTAGGAAAGATAGTAACTTCGGTAAGAGGCCACCCTGGCTTAACCAGGAAAACTTCAATGACCTGAAACTCAAAAAAAGTGTCTCATAAAAAAGACAACAAGCATGTAGGGACAAAATTAGAAAGGCCAAGGCACAAAATAAGATAAAACTAGCTAGGGATATATAGGGTAACAAGAAAGCATTTTATAAATACATCAGAAGCAAGAGGAATACCAAGGATAGGGCACGCCTATTACTCAATGAGGAAGAAAAGGCAACAACAGAAAACTCAGCAATGGCTGAAGCGCTAAATGCCCTTTTTGTCTCAGTTTTCACCAACAAAATTAGCAGCAATTGGACAACTAACATAGTGAACATCACTATCAATGGGGTAGAATATGATGCCAACATAGGAAAACAACAAGTTAAAAACCAGTTACTAACCTTCCGTAACTGTTATTCTTTGAGATATATTCATAGAATCATAGAATATCAGGGTTGGAAGGAGGTCATCTAGTCCAACCCCCTGCTCAAAGCAGACAGATTTTTGCCCCAGATCCCTAAATGGCGCCCACAAGGATTGAACTCACAGCCCTGGGTTTAGCAGGCCAATGCTCAAACCACTGAGCTATCCCTGCCCCATTCCAATGTAGGCATGTGCTCGCTCCAAGCACTGCCGCTGGGAAGTTTTTCCTTCAGTGGTATCCATCAGGTCAGTTCCAGTGCCCCTGGAATCACACTTTCATAGCGCCAGCATAAAGGACCCTGCTGACCCTGATGGTTAGGGTCTTGAGAAAGGGACTCCTGTGCACACCGCTAGTGGCTCTAGCCACCATTCGAGAGAAGTAATCACCAATGGAGAAACTGTATTGACTATGTCTAGATGTCGTCGGCTTTGCAAGTATACCATCACCAGCCATGCTTGGAAGAGTCTGAGTTGAAGTCTTGCATGGTGAACCACATAGGTGCAAGATGTCATGTGGCCCAAGGGCTGTAAGCAATTTCTTGCCATGGTGACAGAGTGATTCTTGAGACTTTCTATAAACTTCATTATTACTTGGAAGCATGCTTCTAGGAGAGAAGCTCTAGCCTGTACAGAATCCAGAACTGCCCCGATGAATTCTATTCTTTGGACTGGGAAGAAGGTGGATTTCTGCGCATTTATGAGCAGACCTACATCCTGGAAGGTCAACTGTATTAGTCTCACATCTGCCTCCACTTGAAGTCTGGACCGACCTCTGACCAGCCAATCGTCGAAGTACAGATAAACCTGAACCTTTGACTCCTCAGGAAGGCTGCGACAACCAAACACCGAGGGGCCGCCGAGAGACCAAACGGGAGCACCATAAATCGGTAGTGAACACAGTTCACAACAAATCTGAGGAACCTTGTGTGTCCCTGAAAGATCGCAATGTGGAAATAAGCGTCCTTTAAGTCGAGAGCGGCGTACCAGTCCCTTGGATCCAAGGAGGGTATGATGGAGGCCAAGGAGACCATGCAGAACTTCAGCTTCTTCATGAATTTGTTGAGGTTTTGCAGGTCCAGAATCGGTCTGAGACCACCGTTGACTTTCGGGATTAGAAGATACCAGGAGTAGAACCCCGGGCCCTTTAGCTCTGGCAGAACCTTTTCTACTGCTCCCTCCCTTATGAGTGACTGCACCTCTTGGGCTAGAAGCTGCTCTTGGGAAGGATTCCTGAAGAGGGACAGGGATAGAGGGTGGGAAGAAGGGGAAACAACAAAACTAAAGAGTGTATCCCAGCACTATCATGCATAGCATCCATAACAGGTCCACAAAAATGGGGGAATTTGGATCCATGAACTGTCTTGGCACATTGTCCTCGAAAGTCCCATCAAAAGGCCTGTTTTGACCCGGCCGAGGGTCTGGGGGGTGCAGGCGCAGACTGTGGCAGAGGTCTCCTTCTATAGCCCCTGCTCCTCCTCCAGCTATAATCCTGTCAAGTGGGGGGGGAGAGGGGAAAGCGAGCAGTCAGCTGTGTCCTGCAGTGCTTCCTCACGGGGCCCAGAGTATGAAGGCCCAAGGACTTACGTGTGGCCTTTGAGTCCTTTAAACTGTGAAGTTTGGAGTTTGTCTTCTCAGAAAAGAATGACATACCCTCAAAGGGGAG